CAATATGTGAGTCAACTTAAACTCATAACTTCATAAATATTACTTTATTACTATTAGTATTAGTCTTCGAAGTCTAAGGGATTATATCGCAGACTGAGAGAGCCACAGTACGTTGATCAAGCAGACAGATCAACAGTGCCAACACTGCAGATCGCAGTAGAAAAAGCCCTAATCTTGTCTCTTGCGATGCCAACACTGTTGGTAGGCCTACATATATATTATTATCATACTGTCATACAGTTACTGACTACTGGGCCCAAGGAAACCAATGTGCCTAATCCCTAGACTCCTAAACCTAACCCTCAACAATAACGCCTAACCATGAACCCTAACGCTATTATATTTGATTAATATTATATTATATTGATGTAAATGACACTTGGTTTTATTGGGACTCCATGTTCTCCTATCCTTGAAAGCGCTTATATGGCCTTTAGGAGTACTACTACTAGTAGTAGGTATAGCTCTAGTACTATAGCCCGCGTACATTGACTGCCGCAGGCGCCTGCGGCAGTCAATGTACGCGGGCTATAGTACTAGAGCTATAGTAGGTAGTACTACTACTAGTACTACTACGATGGAGGACTACCCACAAGTTACCTTCTCGCTTCTTACGACGTGAGCTTCTAAGCTCTAGTCTACGACGCGAAACTGAAAGTGTCAGTCGTAGCCAAGCTGGGCTAGAGATTTGTAAACACTAGGCCTCAGTATGTACAGTATAAACTCTAATACTATGAAGAGAGTATCGAAGTAAGCAGTGTAACTAAACTAACCTGATACTATTAACGCCTCATTTGGGCCAGCCGTGTTGCAATTCCCCATCTTGAATGTATGATATCTGTAAACGTATACGTCATATATTGATTATTGGTCTTGAACCGGTAGGAAATAATAAACTAATACTCAACTTGGCACGACCGCAAGAGACGCGCCTGAGAACTTGAAGTTTACACGATCGTGCATACCACCCACCAGATGTCGCCAGCTTATGTAGTCGACTACAGCGCCACCACAATAAAACAGCGTATGTAGACTGGTACCATGACTGGTACCCGGTCCCACCTTTCGGCTTAGGAGTCCCACCTCTCCTCTTAAAAAAAATTGAAAATTTAAATTAAAAAAATTAATTAATTACCAAGCCGAAGCCTCGGCATAGGTATGGCGATTACCCATCGAGTAATCGAGGTGGGAGCGAGTACCAGTCTACAGCGTCTGCCCCATAGAGTAGACTGGTACTCGCT